AGCTCATGTTTGTTTGCCATTTTATATAAGGAATTTAATATAATGGGACTTGAACATTCACAGACTTGGGTATCCATAGGAGGAGGGGAATCCTGGAACCAAAACTCAGTGGATACCAAAGGCCCACTATAGATATCTAGAGGAGCATTAGATAAATCTAGTATTCTCTTATTAACCAATTAATACATTTACATATTTCAAGACTACAAGGAAGGTATCTTTTTAAAACTCCTAAGGACACAGCCTCTTCAAATGAGGAGTCAGCAACTTAGGCAGATTTAGGGTCATTTTTCAGCCATGGGACACTCCAGAGGCTACACACACACACATATATGGGGAAGTGCTATGACTTATTTAGAAGGTGATCTGAATTCACAGTGGTATTTTTATCCAAAGAAGCATGATTTGGGTGCTTAGCCTGCCAATACAGCCTTAACAGACTTCAAGCTGCCCCAAGACTGTACTTTGGTCACACTTTTTTTGAAATATTTTGAACTGAACACCTCCATTTCCAATGAAATTCACTGACGTTGATGGAACATGCAAATATGTCCATATTTGGCTAAATTATTTATTTATTTGAAGATAAATGATTTCTACATTTTCTCCCTGCTAACAAATAGTTCTGCATATTTCTTGCCAAGTAGTCACACATCTTAAAGTGTTTTAAGAAATTCTTTTCCAGTTACGTGTTTTATAGAATAACATAGTTCTTTTTTTTCACTAAAAAGTAATCTTCCAACCCCCCTCCCTCCAAAAAAACTACCTTGCATGAAAAATATATACAATAAGATCTTGCACAAGAAAGAAGAACTGTGCACAAAATGGCAACATAGGGTTTTTGTGTAAGGTTACTCTGTGCAAAGCCCTAGCAATTTTGCGCACACAAAAAGAACATGTTTTAGTCCAAAAGTGCTTCGGGGGCGGGGGAGACTTATGTGCATCTGTGTATGTGCATGATTTTTGGTGCAGCATTGATAATTTTTGTACAAAAAGAGCAACGTTTCTGCACATGGTCTCAATACAAAATAACTTATTTTCACACACAAAGGAGTGCTCAAAGGAGAAATGTATAATTTTTGCACAGCATTGCATCATGGAAAACTTTGGAGTGGACAAAAGTGTTACAACGTTGTTACCACTGTATTATTCTTCTCAAAAGGATTCCTTTGGGGAATACCCATTATTTGGCAAGGAAATTATTAACAGTGAGCCTTCTTTCCAAACTTGACCAGCATTTGTATTCAAATGTTACACGGATATTTATATTAACAAAGAGTATTTGCTGATTGCTAGATGGAAAGAATTTCTTGAATACTTTAACAATCAATTTTGGCAATAGAGAATACTTCATACTGCAGCAGAACACTCAAGCCAAGGGGGCTTCCAAGTAAAACAAAATAAAATAGATTCAAGATTTATCAGCAGGAGCCATATTTTAAGCCACAGAAAAACATCAACTTTGGTTTTCAAGTGTTCCTGTGGTTAACAGAAACTCCTCATTATTTCATCAGGTTGAAAGACAAGCAGTGAACTCTAGATCAACTTTGTATGTGACCTGAAATGAAAAGCCATATTTATTATTCTTTTTTCCTTCAAATTTGACACAGGGAGAAGGCAGATCTAGGATATCTGTGCCATGCAGCTGGTTCTTCGGGACCTCACTGTTGGACTGTTTTCCCAGCTTCATGAATTTACTAGGGGTGCACAAATTTCAATCTGCAATTAACAAGTAATCTGCAGCCCTGGATTTTCATAAAAAGGAACAGTGCTTTGATGTTTTCATATCTCTCAGCATTTAAGGTTCCATGTATTTTGGGAGTGCACATTTCATAAATGCAGTCCATTCAGTTCTACTAATTTTGGGATTATAATTATTGTTGGTGTCAAATGAAATGTGATTGTTGGGAACTACACTGTTAGCACATTTTTCAGCAGCCAGAAACATAACTCAGTGGTATTTTTAGGTTACAAGAGGAGAATGGGACCCAAACAAAATGAAACACAACACTTCAAATTCTGGTTTGGTACCTCAGACAGAAAGCTGATTTTTCCTGGACAATTCTATAAATCCAAAACTTTGGCTGTTTCCGAATTGATTAAAACGCGTACATAAATAAACTGATACAACATTTATATGTTTTGCTTTCACTGGATGGTACATGCATGTTTTATAATTGTTTCTGAGCAGATGAACCCTGTCCATATTCAGGTTAGGCATCAAGGTGGGATATTGCTCCTTTCTCCTTTTCACAGCGTATGAGGAACGAACTGAAACATCACCATCTTCCTGTTTATCTTCAATGGAAAGATAGCAATTTACCAAAATCTGTACATAATGTTAATTTTAGGTTGCCCCTGAAGTTGGCAATAACATAATTTAAAGTAGTTGAGGTTGACTGTTTTTGGAAATACAAAAGAAGCACCATGACATAAATGTCACAGAGGAATGCCTCTATTTTCATGGAAAACCATGTTCACATGCTATGTAAGAGCTGCGGCCAATCCTATGAGTCAACACCGTGATACGTCTAGTTCTTGGAAATGTTACTTTTCTAGTCTACAATTGTGGCCAAAGAATTTTCTCCCACAGGAGACTGGAGATTCCCTAGCAGAAAAAGATATTTTATTTGAATAGACATTTGGTTGACTAAATGGCTATGGAATTAAGTCTTTAAATGGGAATGTGCAATACTTGAATTCGTATTGTTATGTTTTAAATGCTGTTTTGAAGCACTGATGTTTCATTATGGCAGTATTTCATTGCTTTGAACTTTTTTCATTAGGGATGTTTAGGATATGCTTCATTTTATTTGTTGGTAAGAGTCATCTTGGGTCCCACATCAATAAAAGCAGGGAGAGAAATTAAATAGCTAACATAAAAATGCAATATAAATACATAACAGAACTCCTAGAACATTGCAGACCACATGGACATTCTAGCTAGAAGATACTAAACCAAAAATAAATTTCCATGTTCTGGGTACTCAGTAAGATCTGTAATTGTAGACTAGATAGATGGTATGAATATATTTTAAAACAGTGCTATTCCAGTACTGATGTTAGATATAATCACTTCATTGGGTCATCTCATGTACTTCCCCATTACAGGCAGCTGCCCATTACTAAAGTAGTGTTGGACTGGATAACACACACACACACACACACAGCTGTTAAAGGAATCTTTGCCTCAACTTCCCCCCTTCTCTACTTTCATCTTTTAACGTTAAGGTGAAATAACTAAAACATTTTTTGGAAATAGCTTTTATTGAAATCAATAGTACTACAGCCATTTCTCACGAGTCCTCTGCCCCGGGGAGCTATGACTTGTTTTGTTGTTGTTGCAACAACAGGCTGAAAATGCACTTGCATACATTCTTGAAATTCTTGGGAAAATTGATCAAGGTCATCCATAAAATGAGACCATAAAAAGCTGGGGTGGGGTACGACATTTTCACTTCTGGTGACCTGGCCTACAATTTCCATTGGCTCAACCAAACATGGAAATTGAGGCCAAAGCATCATAGGGGTCCCAAAGATTTCTAATTTATGACATAAAGAAAAATTCCCATGTTCAATCACTTCATCACAACACAACTTTTTTTGGCAAATTGGTTTTAAGAATTGATTTTATCTCAGTGAAGTTGTAATTATAATAAATATAACCTTGCAATAAATATGAGACAGTGTTTTTACACAGTTATATCTCATTCAATTCAGGAATATAACTCTATCCAGGAATGTATGCATGTGTGTGTGTGTACAAGCAAACACATGCATGCACTCAGATGTATACACATACCCCTTTTCTGTATATCAATGCTTGTGAATTGTGACATGCCATATAAGCATCTTCTGACTACAGTCAGTTCAGTAAACTCTTATCACTCAAACTCTGAATCCTCATGGACTTAAAAGCCATTTCAGAGTTGATATGTACTTTCTAGAAGGCTTTAGCAGGACATCATTAACTCAAACTAGAGAGCTGTTCAGATTTCCATTGTTTTAGAATACAGAACCCTTCTTGGTTCACTGCACCGTGTTCACTATTTGTAAAAGATTTATGTGCACCATTCATTATTTACCTTTTATGCATTATTGATGACTTGTCATCATTTAAATTTGTTTATTAATTATGTATAAACTTAACTAAATGTTTCATTAAAAAAAGGAAATCCCATGTAACATTGTGCTTGAAACAATATTTTTGTTGGAAGCATGTCTGGTGAGAATATAGGACAGGGCCTTTTTGGTGGTTGCTTCCAAGCTCCTGGATTCCATGGCAAAGGAGGCCAGTCTGACTCCATCTTTTATGCAGTTCAAATTACTTTTTTTATTATTCAAACAAACTTTAGGCATTGGTATGCCTTTTTCTATAACAAGTATGACATGTTTTAAACTCACTGGCTTTGTGCACTAGTTTTTTTTTTTGACAGCACCACTGAGTGCCAAGTGTAGAGGAAAAGTGGGCTATACATTTATTAAATATAAAAGAACAAATAAATCTTTGAATATACAATCAAAACATTCCTACAGCATGTAGGCCATTTACTGACTAGCTTTTAGCCTATTTGATATCATTTTTTTTCAAGTATACCAACATTGTTGTGTACTATTTGGAGGAGGCATCCTCAGATAAGGAAGGTGAAAAGGAAAGTCAAAATAACAGGGTCCAGTTCAAAACACCTGGAGGGCCGAAGTTTGCCCATGTCTTCTCTATAATCCCTCCCATTACCATGATGTGAAATTCCCCAATCTCTTACTTTTCTGAAACTTGGCTTGCTCCATGAACTATTGACTCCCTTAATAGAATTTGGCTGCCTTCTCTGATTAGATGCTAGGCTGCATCAAACATGTTTCTGTTCTTATAAACCATCTGTGTATGGTCCCAGACCAGCTTAGGTTCCCCACTGTTCAGTCTTACTGTTCAGTAGACTGTAAGTGTATTTATATGGGCACTTGCCACCCTGAAATAGGATGATGTAGAAATTGTACTGTACCTGGAAATATGTAAATTGTGAATGATAGAGATCTGGATAAATATGAAGAGTAGTTCCAATAACTAGTAGTAATTCAAACTTGTGAAGAGATGAACTGATATATCCAGTAAAGCCAAGGCACCAGATCTTCAGGAGGGCTTCCAGATCAAACAGAACAGTAAATGCAACCTGGAGAGGGGACATAGAAGGAAAAAAAATACTCCCAGATCCTGTAATATAATTTCCTAGAATTAGTTCCAAACAACAGTAATGCCATAACAGACCCTGGAATATGCACTCATGTTGTTATTTGAATGTTGTCAAAGGTGCCCAAACAAACTTCCATGAAACTGAAGAGAGCAATTTTCATTTTTGTCATCAGCTTCTTAAGAAAAACATCTTGCCAAGAGCAAGCGCCACTTGGAACTGACCAGAGAATGCCTTTCTTCCTCCCCCAGCATGGGGCCAGGGAAGCACTTTGCTCCTTTCCGGTGAAGGGAGAGACAAAGAGTCCCGACCAGAACTCATTGTGGGCATGGCTGAGCTGAGCCGAGCCCTGGTCACCTCACTTTCCCCAAAGATACTGAAGAAGAAGGATATCTCTTTCAGAGGTTGACAATGTGTAAGTAGGGTGGGGGGCCCTATTAAATACAAGTTCATGTACAAGTTCAGGTTTATGTTAAATTGCACAGAGATTGATTGGTAACATATAATAGATGTTGCCCAAATTAACCCACAACATGGTGTTGTCTCATAATTTCACTGGTGGGGGAGCAAAGGTTACTCCCCTCCTTTTTCTAGAAAGAATAGTCAGCTCTAGCTGTGAAATGTGACCACAGAAGGATGAAACATTCTGGTCTACAGGATCAGTAAAGACACCAAGATTCTGAGTCATTGACTGCACTTTTGCCTGAAACTTTAGACCAGACCCAACAGGATATAAACAATTCTTTACATCAGTTTTCTTTAGCTGGAAAACTTTTTTTGGACTGTAACTCACAGAGTCCCCCAATCCTGCAGGAAGAGGAATTAAGAGAGTTTAACTCTCCAAACAGAACACCCTTTTGAAGTTCAGTTTACAGTTCACTGCCTTATACAGTCATCAAATTCTTTCCCCTCTGGTAGATTTTTCCTCAATGCCCATTACCCTGAATGAGTTGATGAGGGAGACAGTTTGCCCCCATTGCAGAATAAATACATTTTCTAAAAAAGTTCACAAGTTCATGATCCGGATCCCCTCAACCCAAGATACAACTATATGATACAACTAAGAGCAAGTAATCTTTTAAGTCAAAGGCAAGTGAAAAATTTTTATGCACACACATCTGAATTCCATCTGAATGTGAGGTATCATGGCAAAACTACTAAAATGTTGATGTTTTTCACTGTTACTATATGAGAATATTAACAATTACAAACTAAAATGTATTTTCATGTATTCTGTATTCTGAAATTATGTAGGCTGGTTAATTTTCACTTTACATGCTTGTCAAGTTCACTCAAGGCCACTAACAGTTTTTTTATGGACTCATGGGATTTACATAACATTTGGTAACACTTTACAAATTCTTTTTTTTAATACTTGAAGGTAAGCGTATTTTGGGCTTTGCAATTTACAAGAGAAAACCCTAATAGGCGTCCCTGGTGTGAGCTTTTTGGTAGTTCTTGTTGGTCATGAAATGCAATAAGGCAGCCCTTGGCACTGCACAGAACAGCTGGGCAAGAACGATTCAGCAGGCTGTCATCTCTTCTTGTGCTATAGTAGCTATGCCTCTAAGGAATTGTATGTGTCTGCATATGTGTGGTGAAGGGGATGACTGTGGAAGGAAAGTGTGAGATGTCACCCAGGAGTACATTTTCCACTCAGTCTGCTAATAAGCTCCAGGAATCGAGTGACTGATGTACTGCAGTTTAAAGTTCCAAGCTTCCTTTCCATTTGAAAAACTGCAGCATTGAAGTCTTCTTGCTACATAATCTATGTGTATTACTATTAATCTGAATGCTGAACTCAGGAGTCACACCTAAGCAAAATATTTCAATCTAAAAATGAAATTGTGATCTCTGGAAGCTTGTGCCAAATAAGTCCTTAAGGTGCCAGAAGGTTTCTTTCATTGTAAACATGGCTTGTTACAGCTCTGTGAGATGGGAAATATTCTACATATGTACCTTGACTGTATTTTAGCTGTGAGTTCTCCCTCTCCAACAACCTCTTATATAGTACACCTCTGATGGCAGTAATACAAGTGCAAGGTAAGTGGTACCTATGTAGGAATTATTCAGGAATTGCTGAAAACACCTTGAAGCGAGGGATAGTTTATATATGAAAATGACTGTCTACAAAATCAATCAGGTACACCTTGGATTTCTTTCTTTTTTTAATTTTAAAAATAAAATTTTAAAAAGCCCCAGACCCTTCATTCTTGTTGAAATTCATGGCTGGGTGCAGCCTGTTGATCATACTCTCCTGCTGAATCTTATTATTGCTGACATTTCCTGAGAGGTAATGGCCTTTTAGAAAACTGCACTGAAGGCTTATGAGCTATAGTCAGAGAACTTGAACAAATCAGGAAATACTTCTCACTGTGCTTTTAAGAATAATAATCATGAAAATGATAGACTTTGTACATTGCTTGACATTTGCCTCGGCTCAGTTGCTGAATAAGTCTTGGAAATTTCAGGGCACTCACCTCTGCAAGGTAGAATTCATCATATTGGCTCTTAAAAGTCTCCCCCTTGTAATAATTGCTAGCGGCAACAATGACATCCACAGCCACCATGCTCAAGATGAACATATGGAAAATTGAGGATCTCATCATTCTCTGTTGAAGAAAAAAAACTGAATGTGAACAGAGAAAGCTTTTACTAGAAAAGGGAAACATCTTAAGTATAGAGAGCATTCATTTGAAATAGATGTTTCATCCAGAATCACCAGCAGTCATCAATAAAATCTGTTGAATAGGCTGAGAATCATTGTTCAGTGGTAGAGGAAATGCTCTGTACTCAGGAAGTCTCAGGTTTAATTGTAGGCACTTTCCATTGAATGGATGAAGTTGCAGATTGATGGCAGGTAGGTTGATATATATGAAAATGTGAATGGCCTTGCTCTGAGACTCCAAGGAGCTATTATGCTAGCCTGTGTCCACAGGTTTTAAATCTGTGGATTCAACCTACTATGGATGAAAAACAATAAAAAGAAATCAAAGTTGAAAAAAGGCAGGAGTGATGTCTCCTCCACCCCACCCATTGGCCTCATAAGATGATTGTGAAAGTAATTGGTCTGTGGCATTCCCCTGCTGGGGACAAAGAAGCCACTGGGGGAGCGAGATGGGGAAAGAGAAGGATCCGTTTGTCAGGGTGGGGAGTGGAGGCCAGGACTGTTTGCATGGCAGTTGACATTAGATTGCACACATAAGTGAGGTGTTAAAGTAGAAGGGATTCAATGACACTCATGCTTTATATGAACTCTAAATATAATGGACTTGGGCATTCAAATTCCTGGTATCTGTCAGGGGTCTTGGAACCAATCCCTTGGGTATATGGAGGGCCCACTGAAGTAGACTGTCACAGTAGACTTCTTTTATGTTTTCAAACTGTAAGCTACCCCGAGTTCCAAATCTGGGAGGAAGGTGCAATGCAAATAAATATATCAACATCACCAGCAGCAACAGCAACAGATTCCTTGAATCCATGGGATTCAGACATCTGAATCTGCATACATTCTGAGCAAGGCCCAACATTCTTGCCCTCAAGACCTCCAGGCTCCACCTTTGTGCCAGTCCAAGGCCCCTGGAGTCCTCTTTCTGCCAATGCAGGCAGCACCTATGACCTGAATTCAATGCGAGATGGTAGAGTACTAGATCCTAAGTCACAGGGCTGATACTTTAAGTCTCCATACTCTTCAGCAAAAGTCTAAAGTGTAGTCAAACAGAGGCAGTATAAAAAAAATTGAGAAGATGAGGAGAATTTTTCATCAGAATGTCTTTCTAGTCTCTCTTTGGGGCACTTAAAGATCAGCCACCAAATTTGGAGGGTGGGTTGGTGGCTCGCCTCATCACTGCTCTCCCCTGCTGCAAGTTATTTTTTGTCTTAAACAGAAGGTGACTTTGTTCCACATCTGGAGGACGATGGGCAGGTGATAAAATATGGAATTTCTCTAAAAGCATACGCCAGCCTTCGATAGGCCTTTCTCAATAAGATGGATGCATTTGGATAAACAAAGACATCTACAATGTGATCAAACTAGAAATTCACAGAAAGGAAGATTGTCTTCCATTTCCCCCTTTTATATTTATCTGGAATTGCAAGCTGAAATAACACAGAAATGCTTGGGAAACATGACTTAGTATGAAGCACAATTGGAATGTGCTTTAAGAAACTATATCCAAACTAACATCCCAAATATGTCCTCCATGGCAGGAGTAGGGTCTTGGCACCTTATGGGGCTGCATGCCCTTCTTCAAATCCAGGAACTGACTTTTCATCACTTCATTTCTTCTGTCTTCTTTTTTTTCTTGAAAGAGAAATTTGGGGCATCTATGAAGCCCACAGTATGTCCAAAAGACCAAAAATAGTTGCAGGATTCAGATGTCTAAAGTCTAGCTACATTCCTTCAGTCCCAAATTTAAAATAATATATAATGGGAGATGGAAAAGCTTATATCTAGAAAATTTATATTTCCTTTGTTTCATACCCTTGGTTACTTCACTTACACTTTATTTTTGGTTGTATTTCTAGTGGTCTGGACTCACTGCTACACCCCAATCTATATCCATGATTTAGGGATTTAATTTACATTTGGGGCCTCTAAACAGGTCACATGTGTTGGGGGGTTTCTGGGAATTTTGCTGCTGTAGTTCTTATGATTCTTTTAAAATTCAAACAATTTTTGTTGTCCTAGTTTTTTTTACTGCATTTCTGAAATGAAACTACTGTATTCTAACAATATTAACTTAAGTGGTTAAAAAACAGAAGAAAATGTGTCATTTGTACTACATGGTCACATCCAATGAAAAACATTTCTACAAAATAAAGGGAATGTGTACAAGTGGATCTGAAAATACCAGCAACTGGCAAAATCCAGAAGGCAGAAATATCTATCTATCTATCTATCTATCTATCTATCTATCTATCTATCTATCTATCTATATCTATTGTACATACAATATCAAGAACATACATAGATCTTTCACTTGGCTCTTAGATGCATTTACCCAAAAGAAGAACTGAGGATTTTGTGTAAATTGTCTGCATTGACTGTATCTGTTTTATAAATTTTGGTTTAATACATGGTACTTTACAATAATCTGCAAGATAATTTATACTGGATACCTATGTAAAATGAATCTAGCAACAGATACTTTTCCCTTTCTAAGAATTTACAAGAAAGCATCCCAAACTGCCCCAGAAACCACAAAATAATATTGCATTTTCAAACAAATGTGCCCTCTCTTATTGGCTTATGGATCAGGAAGAGCACAGATGCTGTGTCAATGCTTTTATGACAAAAAAGCTCCAAGCCCTTCAACAACCATAATTTAGTTCTGAGAAACTCAGAAGTAGATGATAAAATTGAAAGATACCATGAAAATAGTTCCCAATAATAATACATTAAAATGATTATCTTCTACTTATGGCTAGAACATCACCACCTTCAGAACAATTTCCTCACATATATTCTGCCTAAACTACAAAGTAAAACTTGAAAATCTCGATTAACATTTTTCTCTATTCATAAGCAATATTTTGCACTCCAATCTGAAAACGAATTAGATGGTACTCTAGCATAAAAGGCATTAATAAAACTGTTTAACTATTCTCCTAGTCATTGGTGTCAGCCCTCCATATCCATAGGTTTTGCATCCACAGATTAAACCAACCAAGACTCTCTAATATTTGTTTGGTTTATTCACAGTTTTATAATGTCATTGTATAGAATGGGACTTGACCATTCATGGGTTTTGGTATCTACAGAGAAGGAGGTTCCTGGAACCAAACCCCAGCAACCCCGCTCTGAGTCCCCTCGGTGCGGTCTATAAATAAAGTATTTATTATTATTATTGATCATTATAGATACAGAGAGTCTTCTGTACTCATCAGGATCTCTCTGTCCCATTCATTTTGGTTACTGCTCTTTAAATTATGTTTTAAAATCAATGATTCTTATTTAGATATCTTCAAATAGCATTTGAACTCATTACAGTCATGTGACTTCATCACATGCATGATCTCCCCTCCCCTTCTACATACTTCTAAAATAGTTCATAGATGAAGCAACACAGACTTCCATGATTGAAAGAAAGGAGATTGGGAGGGATAAGAAAGGACCCATGGAAAGAAGTGGGGTTTGTTTTAAGAATGATTTCTCTGTCTCCTATAAGCAGATGGTTGAGCTTGGCGAAGATGATACTGTGTGATGGGATAAGTAAATTTTCCTTCTTTTTAAAAGAAAGAATGTCATGCAAAGAATATGATTTCCCTCACTTGCCCCTCTTTTCCCCAGCTCTGTCTGATGAAGTCCTTAGTCTGTACTGAACTGACCAAGGCATAGTAAAAATCATAAATATTTACTATGTCTACTGAGGACCCTATCACACTGCCATATATAACCCACATTAATTGCTTTGAACTGGATTATATGGCAGTATAGACTCATATAATCCAGTTGAAAGCAGATAATGGGGATCATCTGCTCTGATAATTTGGACATTGTAGAAGGGTTTTGACTCATTGCCACAACAACAAGACCCAGTTATCTTAGGTTCTTGAGTGAAAAACAAATGACCTTTGTCAGAGTTTTCCACTCAGGTATTCCTTCAGTAAATTACATCTACCGTGTAACAAGAACTTGGAAAGTTTACTTTTTTGAACAACATTTTTTTAAAAAACCCCAACTATTATTGCTATGCTAGCTGTGGGATTCCGGATAATGTTTTCAAGGTCTGCCTTTTAAATTACCTTGGTTTCCGCATACGAATTAGAAGATGAGTAAAGTAAGATTGAGAGATAAGAGGGGGAGCCAGCTGGTGGTGTAGAAGGAAGGGAGATGTTAAAACCTTCTGCCCATGTCTTACAAAACACAATATATAAAGATAAAGGCATTAGTTCCAGCAACCTTGCTGAGAGCCATTTTTGTTTACTGAACTGTCTGTTGCTTGTTTGATTCTACTGTTAATTTTTGAGAACTTATCACTTTCAGTTATTTTGTATGTGAAGATTACAGTGACAGCTTGCATGAATGAATGTGCTAAGACAATTTGTACAGACTTTGGACACTGAATACCAAAATCCCATCTCCATACCTCCATCTTGTTTATTGGGACATGCTACAGATTTTTCAGGTTGATACTTTGATTAGATCTTGATCCACAGACCAGAGCACAAACCACTATTAAAATAACAAAAGACTTTCCAGGTAAACATCAGGAAGACTATTTACTATAAGAGCTGTTCCACAGTGGAATGGATTCTTAGGGGGTAACAGATTCTCCATCTGTGGAGATCATTAAACAGAGGATGGATGAGCACTTTTCAGGAGTGCTGGAGTTGTGTATTCCTGAATGGTGGGAGGTTGGACTACAGGATGCTTTGTATTACTTCTAGCTCTAAAGTTCTGTGAGTCTAGCATTGCCACATTAGAAAAAACCCTATATTTCCTCTTGCATTCAGTTATGATAAAAACTATTCATAAGGTGCCACCCTTATGTTCACTTGCTAGGAAACATCTTCCCTTCCATTGGACCTCACATGTAACTTCATCTTAGATATATGAAGTCATAAAGCCTTGATGACCATGCAAGGAACTGAAGTATCTAATATGCTG